TCTTTCTCTCTCTCTCTTTCTCTCTCTCTTTCTCTCTTTCTTTCTCTCTCTCTCTCTCTTCCTTTCTTTCTTCCTTTCTTCCTTTCTTTTTCTCTCTTTTCATTTCCTTTTCACTCTCCCGCTCTACTTCCCCCAGGCTGCTACCATCCCCCAAACATTCCATCTCTGTAGAAGTATCCTACAGGCTACAACTCCCTTGGCTGGTAAACTTCACAGAAAGTGAATGTAGTTCTCATTCAAGGATGAAAGAAGAAGCTGCCACATCTCAGAACACCTTGTCGACCCATTAGTGTCCATTTTAGATTGGTTATATATAAGAGAAAGTTTAACGTGGAAAGGATGAAGTGGAACTCAGGACTTCGTCAAATCAACAGAAAGACGTTTATATAGATTGTAGTTGCCCTACCCAAGTCCTCATCTGCTGAAGGACATAATGATGATGCTCCGTCCTTCTGTGAGAGGCACTGTAGACCTGCAGAGAACATTTGTCAATAGGTGTTCCTCTCTACAGAATCTTGCGATTTGGTGACACAATGTTTTCTCTGAAACAACTTGAGTTTTTATATGCTGATCTCTTCGATTGCCTTTAATTGGCAATACAGACAATGCAAAAGTTGATGAGGTGGAGAGAAAGTAAAAAATGTCCAAGGAATAGAATGGAAAGTTCTATTTTGAAAGCTTCCTTGCTTTTCTGATTCCTTTTTTTTTTTTTTTAAGGATTTATTTCAATCTCAGAAATGCAGTGTAATATTAGTTTCTGGTATCTGATTCCTTCTAAGTGAAATGTTTACAGAGTGGCTTTATGCTTTAATCTTAAATAAAATTTCTCAAACACTGAACATGCTTATATTCAAACGTGCTTGCTCAAATGTCAGTAATTAATAATATATAATAATGATACCAGTTATATACACATTCAAGTAAATATTACAAAATGCCGTTTCAAACAAGAGATTTTTTATGTGAAAAACCTCTCTGCTAAGCCACACTTAAAGTGTTGGGTAAATTATTCAAAATCTTTTTTATTTAAAAAAGTTTTTTTAAATCTATAATATACAGGCAGCAAAATAAGAGAATTATATTCACAGTGAGAAAGCAAACCTATGGAGCTGGTATTTGCCTGAGGGTATGTGCCTAGCAACAGAAGTCTAGAGCTAGAAGTTTTAGAAACCAATAGGAGAAGAGAATAGGAAATGAAGCTTGCAGATAAAGTAGGGTATATGGTTTAATTAGAGAACTTCACATACAGCCAGGATCCTGAAAGAGCAATCTCAAAGGGTGAACTAGAAATTAGCCTCTGGAGAGAACTGGTGAATCTACAATCTAAGCCTTAGCTTAGTTGAAACAGAACAACCACACAAAAAAATCTGAGAAATCCTTACCACAAGTTTGCATTTACTCATATAAGTTGATATGTTAAAAATAACAGAAAAACAAATGTTACCCTATTTAGTGGACTTTCTCATAAGCAATAAAATATCAGCGTGAGACCCATATGGACCAAATAAACTTTAACAAAATTCTGGTTTATTGTGCTCTCATTTTGGTAAAGCACATTCTCCCATAAAATTGTTCGTTAATACTTGGTCTCAAAACTTCCCTCAGAGAAATTTCTAAGGATTAGAATTAACAATCAAGAAACACCCATACATGAAAAAAAAAAACAAGCTAGTATGAGGAAGAGTAAGCAGAAACAAATAGCTCAATTATACTCACAAGGACTGCAGATATTAGAATAATCAAACATGGAATACAAACTAAGTTTAATAAATTTAAAGAAATAGAAAGATATTATACAGTTTATTCTTATAGAAGCGATTGGAATCTATTCAATATCTATGTTAGGCTTACAAAGCAAACTCCATAATCTTAAAATCATGAAACATTTCAAGGAGAAAATGTTGAGAAAAATCAAGAATGGCAATAGATTATAATCTTAAAATCAGACATATACAGATCACATTTGCCTACAAGTGACAAGTGAAAAGAGGAATAACATTTTTACTAGACACTCTTGTATGGTGTTTACACATGTTAGGATTATAATTTAATCCTAAAAAAAAAAAAAACTTTGCAAGCTAAAGTATTATTGTTTACTCTTTATTCCACAGTAAAGTCAGTCTCAAAGAAGTTATGTGGTTTTCTTGAGACCACGTGATGTCAGTGACAGAGTTGGGATTCCAACTTGGGCACCCTATTCTATCAATATACAGCTGAATTCTGATCTCTGCTCATTACTTTGAAAACCAAGGACATAAAAAGGCTGATTATCATAAGTTCATATGCTTGTCTTTCTTCAAGGAAGTTTCTGATAAATGACTTCCTTTGATTCTATAAAGAATCCCATTGAACACAGACACACAGACACACACAAACACACATACACACATACACACACAGGCAATGGAGATATATCATCTCCACGTCCTAATGAATGATGGGCAGAGCCGAGATACCACATGGTATCCAAAGTCCCTTCTCAAGATCTCCTCCAGGTGCCTTTATGCCACGGAACACATCTAAAGAGGTGCTAGATTAGGGACTGGCATGACCTACCTGTTGTCACCTTCTCTGGAGAAAAAGACCGTGAAGGTTTGTATGTTCCCTTTTGCTTCTGCAGGTGGGCGCCAGCTGAGACGGACAAACCGACTGGAAACCAACACAGGGACCACATCTCTGGGAGCAGAAGGGAGGACACTGGAGCTTGGGACAGCTAGGGAGGAAGGAGAGGAGGCTGTCAGAGGTGTGGTGCCATGGGTGGAAAACATGCAGGAAGGCAGAGCAGATCCATTAGCAAACATAGAATGAGCCATTTATAGATTCCAAAGGAAGTAAGAAACCAGGAAAACAAAGAAACAGTAAGTGGAATCAAAGGGATATTATAATTTCGTAGAGCTTATGAGGGGGTGGTTAATCAATAACATATACGATCTTACTGCATATTTATCCTCTTTCCATTACTCATGGGATCCATGACCATTAGCAAGTGTTCTGTTTAGGCATGATGCAGAGAACATAGCTATGGTGAATGCCTCAGGTAACCAAGCAGTTATTACAGAACCTCATTCCACTCAGCCTGTTTACCCTTTTGTAGATACAAATTGAAGAAATAGCAAATCAAAGTCATGGAAGCTAAGAAAAATAGAGAGTTCTTACTTATAGACTACCTTCTAGAAAGGAAATGAAATGACAGGAAAAAACTTTCTACCAGACATAAAGATATGCAACCGCCCCATGCTTGTAGAGTATCACTGCATGTATAGCAAAATTTGACAAATGGTTATTCACAGGAATAAATCATCCACAATTAGAGAACTTGTTTTTTAAATATTTGGGGCATTTACAATCTGTAAAGAAATTTTCTATTAGATGTGTGTGTGTGTGTGTGTGTGTGTGTGTGTGAATTCATCATTCATTTTCTTATTTTTTCAAGTCCCCAAGGGGAGGAAACATTTCATCCTGACAGGTGATGTCTAGCCCCAATCACAAGGACCCATTTGCCTACATTTAGTCTTCAAACTGGATTCTACGGGCTATTTTCTTCAGTTCTTTTCAAAGTTAGTCTCCATCCTTGCATTCACTTTCTCTCGGAACTGGCCGAGTCACTATTCCTGCTGTGCTCTACACTCCTATTAGCTGGAAAATCCACTGGGGTGAGGGGCCTATCGTCTTTTCCAGTTGTTCCAGAAACATTATTAATTGGCAATGCATACCAGTTATATAGAAAAGAAGTTTAAAAGAGCTGCAGAAAGCTTTCAGAGTTATTTCTCGCTCCATAGATACTTAGTACTTCTTTATAGGTAAAATTCTCCCTTGCTTTTTTTCGGTCAACATAGTATTTGAAACAAATGGCAGACTGGTAGCAAGTTACTCAGTCTTTTGTGGCAGAGTGATGAGGAGGAGATGACTGATGCCTGGACATGTAGCATCATTCTCAAAAATGTGGGTGATATGAAGTCTCCTGAAAAAAACCTGCACTTCCACACAACAGAGACATCTCAAACTAGCACACTGAAGTGAATTTATCTTTCCCACCCTCTTAACTGGCCACTCAGCCTGCTTCTCTCCCTGGGCCACTCAACTCAGTTGTATCTGCACTGTTCTCTCAACTGTACAGCCCAGAAACCTAACAGGTATCTCCCTACCCTTGACTCTCTCTCACTCATTCCTTCTAAGATTCCTCCTCCTGGACATCAGGTAAATCTGCTCTGTGTTACCTCCACTGCCACGCTTAGAGCCACACCATCATTTTATCTCGTCAGAACTGCCACAGCTGTCTTCAAGCTCCTTTTCTTTCCTTCTCTCCTCTCCCTCAAATGTATCCTCCGTACAGCCTCCCGGATAAGCTTGTAAAAAGACACATCTGGTCCTATCCATCTACTATTAATTTACTCTCAGTGTCTACTCTTTACCTCAAGGAATCTTCAAACTTCAAAATCAGCCTACTGGCCTAACTCCCATCTATCACTTTTTTTAGTTTGGCTTCCTGCACAAAGAGGTTCTAAGAAAAGGATTTAAAACAAATAGTTTATTTGGAACCAGATCCAAAGAACTACCAGGAAGTAGGGAAGTGAGACAGCAGGGAGTGAGGGCTAGAAAAAGTGAGTTATCTGGCAGTCAGCGTACTGAGAAACTGAATGGCAACTCCACTGGGGTCTCTGGGGGCCAGTGTGGCACAGGCCTAGAAATTATCTATTCTGAGGGAAGCAAGCTGAGATATTTATCTACCACTCCTCCACCACTGGTTGAGTGTGATTCCAAGGGCATTAGCTTTCCTGCACAATAGCTTAGTGTGTTCCTATTGTCAGGAAAATACCACTTTGGGGCAAGGCTTGCAAGGTTTCCACAGTAAGCAGCATCCCTTAGCTCTACTCATCTACAAAGTATTCACAGAGCACCTCTCCAATGCCAGCCCCTCCAGGCAGAGGAGACAGTGGTGAACAATAGATGAAGACATTCCTCATGGATCTCACATGGAGGTTCCCTGGCATTTCCCCCCACCTCAGATGGGTAATGTGCTGATGTCATAACTAGGTTTGAGGGAAGCACATGTCACATGACAATGTGAACACCCAATCATCACACCTATACGAACAACAACAGGATCTGGAGGCTCCCTGGATTTTTGCTGCTTGGACTAAGCAGGCTCTCCCCATGGGTATACATGGGTGATTCCCCTAACCCTTCACCCAGTAGCTCCCACTCTACCTGACCCATCTTGTTCACCTAACTCCTGCTACCCCCCATTGCTTAGTTTAGAGTCATTTCCTCTGGAAAAACTGACCCAAAATATTTGCAAAATATCTATAGATAGTTAATACCTATAATATAACAAAAATGTTGAAAGATCAATAAACTAATAAACTTATTTTAAAGTAGGGTTCAACCTGGCAGTAAAAGAAATGTGCACTAAAATAAAATCTAAAAATCTGTCAGAATAAACTTTTTAAAAAAAATCTGCCAGAGTAGCAAGACTTACTTGCTAAACAACTTGCTAAACATAATAAAGAATGTTGGTGTCTAGAGTTGGCCAGGATGTGACACTCTCTTACACTGTCAGTTGATGTTTGTAAGAGTATAGTCTTTTTAGCAGTTCATTTGGCAAAATCCTTTAAAATAAAAAATATTCATACCATCTGACCAAATATTCACAGGTCTACAAATTTATCTATTAAAAAAAATGCCAAGTAACCTAGGCATCCCTGTGAAATCATAGCTCATTTTTTTCAAAACGTAATACCTATACATCTTACTAGTTTAAAGTGAATGAGATCCTTACTAGATTTTTTTTTTTACAAAAGATTTTCTAAAAACAAAATGTGATCAATGATGACTTGCAAAAATCTTTGGAGAATTCTCAAGAAGTTAGACAGTTAGTTTGAAAAGAGAAGGAGACAAATTTTCAGTTCCTTTTTCCTCAAAAGCACCTCATGTAGAGATGGCATCACATCAAAAATGAGTTTATTTCCCCACCCATTTTAGGGGCTGTCAAGAAGGAGAGCAATGGAAGTCTGCACACAGATGTTTTTCTCCTCAGGCTTCCAGGAGTGCCGTCTCACAAAACTAGTCTAGATGCAGACGACACAGATAAAGTTCAGAATAGAAATAATCATGGACTCTTTTACCTCAATTTAAACAGTCCTCGTATGAAAAGGAATGGACACACTTTTTAACAAAGAGATGGCTTCTTTCTTTATACAGGGAATTAATTTTGTTCATACTAATCCTTCATGCTCTCTCTCAACAGTAACTCGTCTTCACATAAGGTCTCAATAAGGAACAAATCAGGACTTTTTTCCTTTGCTCTTGGAGACTTAATCTCCAGTCTGTACCTAATCTCCCTGGCCCATTACTGTTGCCATGGTTACAGCTTCTTTATCTGTTGTCATGGAGAAGAAGAAGTGAATTTACCACCCTATAACATAGTCTTATTTATTTATTTTTTGTAAGAATCTCTTTTTTAAAAAAATTATCATAGTAAAATCTAGGAAAAGGAAGTGATTTCTGAAAATAATAAAAATCAAAAGAATAGTTTTAAAACTTTGGTTTCTAAATTATTAATTATAATTTCTATTACTACTATTACTACTACTACTACTATTTTATGATGTTATTGCAATAGCCTTGGTAACAATTACATTATTGTGTTAATTTTTCTATAAAGCCATGTTCCGTCTAGATATCAGAGGTTTTTTCTCTCTCAGTATTTTACTATATGTTTACAGACATTAGTTTTCCTCTGAGCTTATTAACTATCTGACCTCCACTTGCTATGAGGCACATGAAAGATAGGATGTATTCACAAAAACATAAAAATATTTAATTTGTGTTAAGCATCAAACAACCGATAGGCTTACTTCCTTATCATTCCCCTTACTGTTAACTAAAATACTATAAACGTGGGGCCTGCAGATCGAATAGATGCTTTTTTTCACTGCATCTCCTTATTAGCTTGAAGATTTAAGTAAAATATAAATAGATAACGTTAATGAAATTACAGGAACATTTAACTGTCCTCAGGGCAAACTCTATTTCTTTTCCTTTTGTATTCTTTTCTTATCATTGTTCCCTTGACTCCAAATTCTACCTTTTAGTTGTTCAAATAGAGAAGTAGATAAAATTTAAATCTTGGTTTAAAGTTTCTGTAGTTCACAAAGTAATTTCACAAACTTACCAAAAAGAAACTCAGCTGTATGTGTGAAATTACAAAGAATAACATTTTTTTCTAAAGCTTCATGTTATTTTCAAAATTCAAAGAATCATGGCTTTTGAGCTAGTATATTGAGAACTTTAGTAAAACTAAGAAATGTAAATTAAAATAAACAGTGATTTGAAGTCATTTTTTAAGTTTATATGAGACAAAAGTTAATGATCTCCATAACGTTTCATTAAATCTTAATCTTTACATAAAATAATTTATTGGGTTAGTATCTAAAATTGAATAATCAACATTTATTGAATGTCTATCAAGGTCTTACTGTTATGTTTGAAATGAAGAATTATTTATTTTTATACTGTGGATTTTTCCCTAAGAAAATAGGGAACTAATTTTAAGACATAAGGTGTATACACGTAAGACAATTACTAAGTTTGAGATAGTTTCTTGTTTTTTTAGTTTTTAATGTTTATTTATTTTTGAGAGAGAGAGAGAGAGAGAGAGAGAGTGACAGAGCAATCACCCAAGCAGAGAAGGGGCATAGAGAGAGGGAAACACAGAATCTGAAGCAGGCTCCAGGCTCTAAGCTGTCAGCACAGAGTCCAACATAGGGTTGGAACTCACCAACCATGAGATCATGACCTGAGCCGAAGTCGGATGCTTAACTGACTGAGCCACTCAGATACCCCAAGATAGTCTCTTATTTTTAAACAAATTCCATCCTAAATTTTCAGTAGGATGGTTGTTTAGAAATCAGAACACATTTTCTCACTAAACCATTTCTATTCTGTTCCCAGAAACCTATTATTTTACAGATCTATTATTTTACCAACTGTCATAGTAGTAGTGCTATAGAATTGGATCGTGCATGTATGCATTTTCTTTGATAAAATCAATTTATGTAACCAATCATTAATCCATTCAGTATTCATAGATGGATTAATACTTGTAAGGCACTGCATGAAGGACTGTTTTAATCTATCCCCCAGATCCGGGGAGGAAAGCCAGCTTAGTAATGGGTAAGTCTCCCTGCCCGAGTTTCACTGTCAGGGACCTATCTCCTCTCACCTCTCACACTGACTCTCCAAGCTCAGCTCTATGTTCTCAGTTGTCTTGGACAGCGGTAAGCCTGAGAAGGCTGCAATGGAAGGTCTCTGGGATCACTGACCTTAATTAGTTCCATGAAGACCTGATATTTTCACCTCTGTTACTTTTGTGTGCCACAGCCTGAACTGAAATACTTCCCTTCAATGGCTCTTCGGCTCTGACCTGGGCTTCTCTTTCAGATTTCTGTTCAGGTATCACCTCACTGATTCCAACCCTGGCTTTGGAGCCTCTAAATCTGGACATTCACAGGCCTGGGTGAAGTCCCCTGTAGGCACTTCCTACCCTGAACTGCAATGGCGTAGTCACTTTTTGGTATCCTATACCAAATTATATTCTCTGTAAATGTAGAAAGCAAGTCGAAACTGTTCATCACTTTAATCCCTAAATCTAGCACCACACATTTAGTGACATACTATGTAACCAATACAGTCTTGCAGTGTTAGCTGAGTGAAAGGTATTGCAAAATTGTGAAATTATAATGTTGAGATTTTGACAAGAAAATTCCCGTTCTGAACTCTCAAAAATGGGTATTTGAGATTATGTACTGGGAAGGAACTGAGCTATTACTACAAGCTGGTCATACTAATCATTACTCTACTAATAAATTACAAAGTAGATTCAAAAATTGGACTCAGAGAAAGGTTCCAAGGGGATGAAGGTTTACAATGAGACTATTTCATTTTGTACCAAATGAGAGGTGAACATGTTCCTAAAATCCAACTATGTGTCAAACAATGTGGAAGATGAGTTCATACAGGAGTAATATCTAAGAGAAATAATGTTTTCATTAAGAAGTAGATCAGATGCCTAAAAAAAGTTAATTTGGGTTAACTTGTACATCCAGAAAAGAGTCTGGGGATCTGCTAGAGGAAGTGTGATTCTTATCCTAAAACCATATATCAAAGAGAATTGACAGGCCAATGTTGCCTGGTAATAAGTAACACCTATGGCCACACAAAGATATACGGTGAAAAAAACATCTGGAAGGTGGTATTATACCAGCAGAAATAACTACACCTCTCAGAGTTTGAGGTCTTTTCAAAAGACAAAATGAGAAGAAAATAATATCTGGTAAATTGGCCAATCTACACATGTGTAAATGAATTGCATTCTTTATTTTCACTTTGTTTATTTAAGAAAGTACCTTTTAAAAGGGTTTATCCAAAATGAAGCAGATCTCAGGCAGGTTGGGAAGGGGGTATTCCATTATTTATGTAAACTAATGGACTGGACTAGAAAGTTGCAATTAAATAGAAGGGGTGTTGGATCCCTGCTCTACTACTTTGTAACTACATACCTTGGAAATTTAGTTTCTCTGAGACCTACCCTGCACATTTGAAAACAGATTCAATTTATTTGACATGCAGGGCTATGTGCGGATATAAACTGGGCTTAAGGGCTACTCGCAGAACCTAGCATATGATATGTATTCAGGGAATGGTTATTATTACTTATCTGTATTCAGGTCCAGAAAGTAGAAAGTCTGCTTCTGCTGGCCTAGTTTCATGATATCTGGTTGGAAATCTAGGATCCCTACCAGAAGGGCTTTGGGAAGGATCTGGGCAAGTCTGGTAGGTCAAGTGAGCTGGGTCCAAGGGTGCTTCCTCCTTGCAAGGATAAGACTTGGTCAGCTAAATATCTCTCCCTATTTCCATTACCAGGTTGCAAAGAAAATTTATCCTTTGTTTTCCCTTTTCTGTCAACCCACATGTCTACTTCAACAAGAATGGACTTCATTTCAGGTTTCTTCATTCTCTGTATTTTCTTACTGCTCATTGTACCCTTTCCATCTGTCACTATTCCAAGGTTTTGTAAGGCTAACTTTAACATCTCTCTCATCAAT